AACTGCCTGCTGGCTCTAGCTTTATTTTACAGAGAACTGACTATGGAACTGATCTTCTCATCTAACTCTTGGCAAGAAAGTGAATAAGCATATAACCAAAATGTCTGTAAAGGTTGTGATCAACCTGCTGCCCACACAAGCAACAAGCACTGTCCTGATATATAATGAGACAGAAGTGTCTCTGGCTGTTCGTCATTATTATTAAAGGCCTTGTGTTCGCATTCCTTCCTCATTACAACACAGCCAGTGGCACATGGCAGCACAGTGGCTGCAGGCGTTGGCTTTTTAGCTGAACCCAGAACTAGTGCAGTAGGTGGGGTGCGGGAGAAGTGAGGATCAGGGTGGTTGGAGGGGGAAAAAGAGAGGGAGATGCAGGGTACATGAATTCAGTGTGCTTGTATGATAGTTCCTTAATAAGAACATGGTGCAGGTTGACTCTGGTGTGGATAATATGGAGCTGACTGTGCGTGTCTCCCTCTTTCACATGAAACAGGGAGGTGAGAGAGGGAGTGAAAGGAGGTGGTGGGGGGTGTAGGAAGAAAGATGTAGTGGGGGAGGCTAGAGAGAGGGTGAGTAAGGCGGCTGAGAGGCGAGGGCCGATGCAGTGCAGAGCTGGAACGGACACCCAGAGCTCAGCCTTCCATGGGTTACCATGGAAACCACATTCCTCCCCCGCCTGCATCCCTACAGACTGCTCTGACTCTCTTTATTTCTTTCTCTTCTCGCTTTGTTTTTCATCCTGTCTTTTTCATTCCTCTTTTAATTCGCGTTTTTGTGTGTGTGTGTGTTTTTTTACTTCCCTCTCTCTTTCTGCTCTGCTTTTACACTGTACATACATTGAGCACATTCGTGACGATGTGCATTCAGCAAGCGCACTGAATTCAGATGCATTGCTCTGTGGCAAGGTGAATGGGTAATTACACAGTGTTTAGTTTGTGTTCCCGAGCACTCATGGATACATAAGCACTTTTTGTTTTCTCCGTATCTCTCTGTTTGCTTCTTTCTATTTTTACTCCCCCTTCTGTTCAGCACCATGCTTCAGTAATACCCCCTCTAGACATCACATTTCTGCCCACACAGGGCACCTTAGCTTCGTTTCTCTTCAGTTATGACATCTGTCGTGGCTCTACAGCACCTTCATCATATTTTATCAACTGCTTTCTCCTTCCTGTCAGTTTCCAGCTCATCGCTTAACCTCCTACTTGCACCCCATTTCATAGCTCTCAGCTTCTGTCTATGCCAAATGCTGTTCCTTAGCCCTGCAGCTCTGATACAATCTACCGCTCTCCTCCTTTTTGGCTTCCTCATTACCCTTTATTCCTTCTTTCATTGTGCTCCATGTGTATGCTTTGTTCTCTCTCATTATTCCATCAGTTTGAGGTGCTGTGTTTGGTGTGTTTTGTGGAGCAGCTGTTCTCTGCCACTGAGGCCTATTAATAGGAGTCTAAGCCATGAAGCTTTGTTTTCTGTGTCTGGAAGAGCATTGTGGTCAGTCCTTGACAGGTTACTTTGTTTTGCAGAGCAAAATGTGTGAGTAGCTCCCATTTCCCTTTGCCTGACTGGCTTTATGTCTTTGCATGCACATTTCCTCCCTTCCTCAGCATTCACACTTTTCAAAGCTATGATCTATTGAGCAGTGGAACTATAAACTGTAAACATTCTCCTATGTTCTGGGGTTTGCTCTTTTTAATTTAATATTTGCTGTTTGTTGAGGAATCAAATTAATTCTGCTAAGATGTAATGTTCCTGAGAGACTTTTAAGACTTTCTTCCTCACTCCCTCTTGGAGTTAGTTAAGGCTAAAGAGTAGCTTAGTACATGTTGATATGGAGCTGCCCCTTTAAGACTGCCTCACTACCGCCTGTCCTTTTATGGTGCTGCATCCGGTCGGTCAGGTGACAACAGAATAGTCACATAGCTTCTCGGAGAAATGCCTAGAAATGACTGAAAAGCTCAATACATGGTCTGTGCAGTGGTTGAAGGCTGTAATGCTCATTACGATAGTGTATGTGTGTGTGTGTGTGTGTGTGTCACAGAGTGTCCAGGTGGGTTTATGTAATAAGGGCCGTGCAGGCTGATGCTGAGCTCACTGTGTTGGGGGAGCTGCAAGGTGGGATGTGGAGAAGCTTCTCTGTTCAAAAGCACAGGATAATGACCTCATTTATGTTATAAATCACAGGTCTTTCTTTTTCATTTTTCAACAAAAGGTCAGAGATCACCATGTTCATTCCACAATATAAATCAGTTAATGCTGTCGACCCACATCTTTCTAATCCAAACTGTTTAATTTGACACAGCATTTATCAAGAATTGCAGACACATAAACACAATTCACTCATGCATGTGTTTTGGGAAGGTCTGTTGCTATTCTTCTGGTACTGCTAAAACCAAACTGTTCTTATTGTTAATACCTTTGTCCACTTTTTATGTTCAATTTCAAAGGTAAATTATAACATTACATTACATTTTCTCTCTCCAGTATTTATGTCTAGCCAATAACAGAATGCTGGTAACTGAATATTGCCTTCTCTGCCTGGCACCCTCATCATAAATGGAAGAATAATTAAATTTAACAACATATTCAGATATAAACCAAGATTATCAGTTACATAATTGCATTTCTAACAAACAGGAGAAAATCCTGTTGTCTTTAGCCACAAAATCAGTGACAAGACAAACATACCAACACTACATTAACCTTTTCTGTCCCCTGTAACAGCTCTAATTTGATTAGTGCGTATTAACTTCCTGTATTCATCTTCTTGTTATTCTTTTGGTACAACAATTGATTAGCTTTAAAAACACTTACCAGTGATATGGTTGATATTGATACGGTTTTAATTATGTATCTAAAGGGAGAGTTCTCTTTCCCCTAGAGGTTTTAAATATGCACACAGTTCACATCACAGATATGACACCACAGTGTGTGCCCATCGATACAAATGACACATCTGTGTTCCTGTATCCCTGCTGTCTTTATTATTTGTATTCTGCTTTTCATTTCATTGTGTTGTACAGTATGTTTTTCTTTTACAAACCCTCTGAGCACTACAGTATATATGATGTGAACCCTTTGTAAGAGAGACAGATTTAGGCTAGGGAAGGATGGCTACAACGTGCTCGGTCATGTGCGCTGTGATCAATATGCTTACATTGTTCTTTCAAGCCGCTACCCCAAAGCCCCGCCTCACTGCTCTGATTGGCTTCAGCGGGGTTTGTGGCTGCATCCTACAATGTAACTTAAGGCATTCAGTGGTTTCTAGTCGCTGTTTAAAATGCCTTTTTTCTCTTCTTACTCTATGTTTGGAAAATCTCTGTAGGTTAGAGTGATGGAATATTTTTTATAATGAAGTGAGTTACTGTTGCATGTAATTAAGTGTGGCTGAGCCTGCTGTGTGTCTCCTGGTAGGGCTGCAACACAGTACAGTGTGCCCTCACCCTGAAATACTGCTCAGTTTAACAGGAAGGCTGCACAGATACACACCGATAGACAGACTTTAAAGGCTCTATATTTTTGTTACTAGCATTCAAAATGAGGTCTGTAACATAAAGACTATATACAAATATACTCTCTCCCTGATACGGACACACCCTGTCACATTTCATTAATAATGCATATATGCAGGGCTTTAATGGAGACACTATAACATTGTCTCTCAGTTGTCTAAAAGCTAAACCTTCACCCTCAGTGTCAGAATGGTTTCTGTCTAGCTGTGATCAGTCCACAAACTCATGCAAAATGGATCACAGGCAGTCCTGTCACATTCCTGAAAATATAACTGCCACAAACACATGAAAGCCATATAGTCTCTGCTTCTTTTTCCCCTCACACATTCTCAGTCTCAGCCTCTTCCTCCACCCACTCTCAAACCCAAGCGTATAATCTTGTCGGTGTCATGTGTTGATGTCATCATTGTGAACATAAAATATTTCTTAAAACGGGGCTTCAGGGGTGCAGTTTGCTCTCACTGTGCTTGTCTGCCCCAGTCATGCACAGGGGGCAGGACTTAATAAAATAATTCAGCGGCAGTGCTAACAAAGGAAGAGGGATAGAGAATGAAGTAAAGTAATGCAGTATGATTCATAGGCATCCTCTGTTAAGAGGCAGGCCTAGTGATACCCAGGAAAAAAAGGATTTTCATCTGCTGCACCTGCTTCCATTATGAGATTACAGTATGGGCAGAGCCTGAGGTTGCCAGTTACTAGCACAAGAAAGCTGTTAAGTTGGCAGCTGAACTAGAAATGATCATGGAGGTGACCAGTGACCAGTCAGGTGAGACATGGTGATCATTGTAGGTTGGATTTTAGCTGCATGGGTCTGATTAAATACACTCACAATCAGTGGCTCAGAGTTGAGGGTCAGCGTGTACAAGTCGCAGACTATGACTTCTTGACCTTTTTTAAAATATTGAGGAAAAAAGCCAAATACAATGTTTTAATGTGGCTTGAAGTAATACCACTTTACCAAATGCAGTCAGCAGTGAGATCTAGGAGTTGTGGCCCCTTTAAGAGCATCTAGTGAAGCACTCAGTCCTGTTGGTGCTGCTGCTGCTGATGGCAGCACTGCCTGCTGATTGGCTGTTGCTGTCAGGGGTGAGGTGCTACAGGGATGCTGCAACATATCTCTCTCCCCCTCCCTCCCTGCTTCTTTCTCTCTCCCTCTCCCTCTCCCCTCTCTCTCTCTCTCTCTCCATCTCCCTCTTGCTCGCTTGCATCCTTCTGAATAATCCACATCTAGGGCAAGCTGGCTGAGAGGCAATCCACTGCTCAGCTCCTCTCTGCAGGCTGAGGAAAGAGACAGAGAGAGAAAGACAACGATTTTCAACACAGAAGGAAAAACGTCAGATTTTGACTGAACGGGAAGATACCAAGAATCAAAAGAGGAAAATTTTCATCTGCGGATATCATTTATTTATACATATTGTTTATATATCTATATATATATGTATTTATATGCATATCACTGTGAACCAAGAAAAAGAAGAGGAAATTTCTATCATCGGGGCTGGTCTCTGATTGCGTGGTCATATACAATATTTTGAATATTTCCTTTGATCTTCTACGTCAAGAGGACAAAGACTACGTGCCCATTTTGTATTTTTGTTTTCCTGTTGCTGCTTCCCATCCCTCTCGATCTTTTTTTTTTCTACATTCGGGAGGAATAAAGCGGAGAGTGAAAGGATTTGATGAAAAAGGGAAAAATCTGTAAAAATTCCTGTGATTGGTGTTATCTCCGTCGGCATTAGCATTCTGTGAGCCGATCACAGCGTGCTGTGTGAGATCTGAGGAGGCAGCAGAGACAGAGTGCTCAGTGTCAGTCCAGCCAGCACAGTCAAAATGCACAAACATCATCACTGCTGCAAGTGCCCAGAATGTTACGAGGTGACCCGTATGGCTGCCTTGCGTAGGATGGATGCCCCTTCGTATGGAGGAGACTGGCAGGCCGAGCCCTATGGATACCCGCCTGGGTATGGGGGAGGCCAGACCTTGCCCCCTCCAGCCTCAGGGGGAGGAGGAAACATGGGAGGAGGAGGGGGCACTTTGGGGAGAAGTAAGGGCAAGATTATGTCTGGTGGGGGCCCTGGAGGCCCAAACTCAAAGGGCCAATCCAAGGGTGGCCCCAAGGTAAACGGCAACAACTCCAGTGGGCCAGGAGGATGGTGGCCTGAGTGCACCTGTACCAACCGGGAGTGGTACGATCAGGTAACTCATCTCCCTCGCTCTGTTAGGTAGCTCAGGCCTGTGGTGCCTGTCAGAGGAGACAGGGATCCATTGAGCTGCTGGTGTAGTAAAACAGGGACGATTATGTATCAGCTGAGGCTGGCAGTTTTTGGAATAGAATTCATTTTTAGTATTCATCTCAAGCCCCCAGTTTCCCATTGTTGACTGGCGCTTCTATTGGAAACAGAGTAAGGAGTACAGAACAGGACTGATCCAGTTCCACTGCACGTACATGGAGATAATCTTCATGATTGGATTTGATGCAGGTGACTAATGCTTACAGATTTAACACACCTAGTGTATGTCATCCAAGGCTGATACAGTTACCCTAGGCCAATAGATGGTGCATTTTCATTCACTGAGATGCAGTTTGCATATATTTTAGGTTGTATCTCAGACTGATCATTCTGACAGTGGAAAATAAATGTCAGCAAATTATAGGATTGTGCCTCTTAGCTCAGAGCAGAGAAAGAGATGATGAAATCTACAAAACCAATTCCATTCCCTTTTTTTTGGTCTTGTGAATGTGTTGTTAGAAAAACAGAGAATCAGCAATATTTTGCCTCTCATACGTGCTGCAGAGTGTGAATGAAACCGCCTCTTGTGCTCCATTTTGTTTCTATTATCTCCATCTATTTACATGTATTTCAGAATTACAGTTCATAAAAGGTCAAAACAACCTCAGAAGAACAGTCTTTAATTAAGCAAGGTGCATGTACGTATGTGAGCATGAGTGAGCTTGGGTGGGGGAAGGGTAGCTTGGTGAGCATGAGATTCAAGGAATGGCTCTTGCTATGCATGAGTATTTGTGTATGTAGTCTCATATTTGCAACAAGTGAAGCCGCTGCATTTATACATCCTCCATTTATTTCTGATCGTGTTTTGAGCAAGATGCGAAGCAAAAGGAAGAAGGGAAGGTGAGATGAAGCACAGGGGTAAAATGGAGGCTGATATTTCAGTGGCAGAGTGCAAGAGATCCCCTGAGCTGAGCCCATATATGAGCCGCAACCTGGCTGATATTAGCAGATTACTACAGAGAGGTTTTAGCTTTGAGGCAAAAAGAGAGAGGCACTTTCTCGTGGCTTGTGTTGCATTGAAAGTGTTACGCAAGCCCTTTTCTCATCATTTACATCCAGTCAGGCTTATTTCTTGTTTCACACATTAAAAAGCTCACAGCAGATGTGATTATGTAAGCAGTTGTTGCTTACATTGACATTTTATTCCCCCTCAGTGTTAACACCACAATTTCTAGTGCTCATCTCCAGCATATTTATTCAATATTGAACTTTCAGTGAAATAAATGAGTGTGATGAAATATGTTTTTGGACTGCATCATGATTCATGTAAGGATACTTTGTTGTCAAAACAGCACCATTAATGGATAAAACGCTCTGTAGGATCCGATCCTTTCGAAGGATCCTTGCTCCTTTACTGTATCATCTGAATGTGCATGAAGGTTCTGTTGAGAAAATGTCCAAGCTAGCATTCATGGCTTCAGTCACTGGAAAAAAAGAGATCGAATCAGTTATGGATGATGGTTTGAGGGGGCAGTCAGTGGAGTGAAAATGCTAAGGCTGAAAAAGAGAGAAATAGACCAATAAAGGCAGGCAGCAAGCCCAGAGAAGGGGAGGGGGTTATGTAAGAGGAGGCAGTTGGTGGTGCTGTCGGACGGAGAAAGCAGGAGAGACCCTGGTTCTGTGGCCAAGCATTTCTCACTCCATCTCTTTAAACCTGTGTGCGCATGGCCAGTCTGAGATAGCCTTTCTATATGAACAGGCTATAGGACTGGCAGGATGAAGACCTACCACCACCCCCACCCTCCCGGCTCTCTTCAGTCAGTGTTGCTCGGCCTCGGGTGGGAAATATGAATGCTCCCCTTCCCCCACTAACTATACACAGCCTGGGGAACAGGACAGTGATCACACACACCCAAACACACATCTATTATCTTATAGCTTTTACAACAACCAGTGTTTTGGATGCTCACACGATGAAAGGAAATAAGCCTGCGCAGTGATTCGAATGATCTGAACCAGCTTTTTATAGCTGGATCATTGACATTTTTAAATGAACACTTCATGTATGTGTGAGGAAATCATTTGACACCCCAAGACATAACAGTGCCATATTCCTTTTTTTCCCTCATCATCATCATCATCTGTTTCATAAACGATTGTGTTACTTTTGTCAGGATCTTGCTAGGTTAATTATGGATGATTCCAGTTGGGATTTTAAAACTAGCTTTTGAATTTAAGTCGGAGAAAAATAGAGACCTCAGTCTAGTACAGGGAGCTTCAGTCAGAAAGCTCGCTCTTCCCCCCCGCGGGCTCCAATCTGTCTCTGTGTGTTGTCCGGCTCTGTGGCTGTGATTAGCTTTAAATATTAAATGGATTTTACTTTATTTATTAGCATCAGCATTTGGTCCAAAATGCAGTGCCAGATCTACTGATTATAAGAAACCTCTAGTGGCAGCAATGCTTTAAATTAATGCGCAGGCACGATGGGCATTTCATGTCGGACTTGAAAGCGTTCAGGCCTTGATCAGAAATGTTTCTGTGTGTACTGTATGTATATGTGCGCTTTTTACAGTCGCATTGATTTATTGGTGTCACTGGCTTGTACATCTGTCTGATGAGATTTTGCTTGGTCAGATTTGATTTGCCAGTCCTGAGAGAGTATTAACAGATGGAATTTACATGTGCTCTGTGTCCAACAGTCTTGAGTTGGAACCCCTTTCTGTGATCTTAAAAGACTCCGCCTAAATCTGGAATACTCTCATCAGATCAAGAGAGATTTATCTAGTGTCTTAAAGATCTGGTGTGATCTGGTGCAGCTCGTACCAATGCATTCAGTCCATTGTGACAGATAATTATTGCATTTTTTCCCCTGATGGATTGGTATTTCTTTTCTCTGATACATATGCCTGACAGACAATAGATCCCCAACATGGGTTTCCCTTATGATAATGGGTAAAGCAGAGCAAGTAGGATAGCAAGCAACTGGATAAGTGTCTAGAAAAGCTCTAAGATGTCCTGGATATTGTGGCTGATGTTCAGCTAGAAGCAGGTTAGAGCTGTGTTGATGGATAAAATATGAATAAGGTTTTTCTCAGGAGTACAAAGCATTCCTCTGTCTTCCATGACTCTCTACTCTGGGAAGGCAGACTCATCGTAAGGCCTGGGAACCTTTGCCTCGAGACATAAGGACATCATTAAAGCAGCTCTTTGTTGTGATCTTCACAATTATGTAGAGGCATTTCATGTCACAGGTGGTGGTACAACATGGGCTACCATTTGGTCATATTTCTGTTTCAGTCTGACTTCTTTTGTTGCCTGGCAGAGCAGGACAACACCCCGGGTATGGGATAGCTGGCAGACCTCTTGATTCTCAGATTACAGTGCACTATAGGTGCATTTTTGCCTCATTAATGCAGCAGTGGTGCTTGTTAATGTTAGATGTGACATTTATGGCTGTTTGTAGGTCTGTTCTCTTTTTTGCAATAATCCAAGAGTCGAGGCTAAAATTACAATTCTTTGACCACTGAACCGATCATATAGAGAATTTATTGGTCTGATCATTTGTGTGAGGTGGTATTTAAGTAGCCGTAATTACAGCTGCATCACCAAGTGAAAACTTTGCATTTATTAATAGAAATAAGAAGAAGGTGACGTTCTGACAAATGGTCAAACTCATCATCAGGTATGTTTTAGACTTGTGCTTAATGGAACATTATATTCAGTGCCAGTAATTGAAATAATTCTGACAGATTATCATCACACCAGAATAATAAAAAGTATAATTATTTTATTGTCTTGTCCAATTCCACCAGTGACATCAGGGCTCATCATTCTTTAGTTTCAGCATCAGTCATCAGATCGGCATTTCATCTGAGGACGCTGCTCCCACCATGCTGCCCCTAACTCTCTCCAACACTCACCCCAGCAAGCATTTTAAAATTCAGTAGGAGGTAAAACAGGCTGAAACTGTGTAATTACTTGTTGAAGTCTGTCTATACTGCAGCTTAAACCCTGTATTCAGATAAACAGTGTTAACTGTTTTGAAACCTGTTATAGACATGATGCTCTGTGCTGTTTAGGAGTAAGTTTGTATTTTGTTCTCATTGTGTTCAGTGTCATTTGCTGGCTGAAAAAATGTGCTCAACCCACGCCATCATTTTAGTGACAAATCCTACAGAGCTTGGAGGAGATGATCTTCTCATCTGCGATTTTGGCCACCATGTGTTTTGCTACACTGAAACCTGTATCTAGTCTGTGTGTAACCTAAATGCAAGACATTATAATTGATGTTTTCCATTACTTGTAGGTGTCCTTTCAAACTGTGCACTGCAATTTAAAAGTATTTTACCAAAGTCAGCTAATTACATTCAGAATGTAGAGCAGCTACATTTGTCACAGTAAGTGGATATTGTGAAAAATGAGGTTCACAGCCTTTGCTCGTGTGTGACCTGTAATTTCTGTAAAGAAACGATTCAGGGAATAAGATCCAGTTCAGTGTAGCTTCTTCATAATTGTACTGAGCATCAGCAGTTTTCTTGCAGGGATACCTAGCTTATTCAAGGAAACTCAGTCAATCATCAGTCAATACCTCTGAAAGGAAAATAGTTTTAAAATGGTTGTTACATGGTTTATTATGGGAGCACAAACCTAATACTTTGCCACATTTGGGTATAAGGAGCAGCAGCTGCTTGTTTTCTCTCATTTGCCATCGTAGCATTCTCACTTTTCACTATGTAAATTTAGAAAAAGGAGAAAATATGTTTAGATTGAAAATGCATTTGTTAGTTAAAGAAATTAAAAATTTGTAGCAATGTAAATGTTTGGTCCAGCCAAAAAAAATCATTTACCTGTTTGTGGTACTTGTAGATTCATGCTGCATAAACCCTAAATTTGAACCTTTTTTCAATTTCACTGAAACCTTTTTTTTGTTTTGTTTTTTGAAAAGTGTATGTCAGCTTTTCAGAC